TATTAACTGGAGGTATGTAGCCTAGGATCAAAAGGATCTGGCATAGCTGCATCCGGTATCTGGGAGTATCTCAGTAACATCAACTAATAAGTAACAGTGCGCACCAAAGTAGCCGGTGCGACCGCGGGTTTTGCGCAGTTCCGTCCATCAGACGTTTGTTGTCAAGAATTTTCACTGTTTTACATTTTGGTTCTTGCAATAATAGTTGATATATTACTGGTTCCTATGCTACGAAATTTCCCAAAAAAATTTTTGTGCCAGCACTTGAAAAGTAGGCGTATGTGAAGGCTGAATTTGAAATCCCTTGGGTGCCACATAGGTGGGGATACCCCTCCAAAATTTCAATTTCCTAGCCTTCTGGCTTCTTAGTGACTTTCGTGTCAAGATTTGGATCATCAGAAATGTGTAAACAATATGCTCAGAGAGGCTTGCTGCTGATTTTTGTGATGTTTGGAACGTGTCGTTTACTGATAATAATTTGCCGATAAAATTAATTGATGTTGCTCTCGATACAATACTTTAAGAAGATTTTTAGAAATGGAATTTTAAATAGTTGTTTCTCTCGACTTCTGTCCCCTTCTCCTTTCTTTGACCCTCCTCACCCTTACTTTTATCTAAGTTCTAATAAGGTAATCTAGCCAGGACGGCGCGCACGCTAGGACTAAAATCGCTTTCAGTTTTCTTGTAGATTACTTCCGAACGAACAGCTGTTCAATTATTGCCATTTTATGAACCTAACGGAGTAACTAGGCCGTTGGTCTTTGAAAAGTGACCTGCCATTGAAGATAACAAGTGAACAGCGAATTCTTTCCCAGAATGGTACTTAAAAACTGTCAGATCGTTCGCTAGCCTTACGGGAGTGTATTTTCAAGTCTTTAGAAGAGCGGAAGTGGGAGTGGCGAGTTGAGCTGAGTTTGTTAATCAAATTTTCGAGCGCACTGGCATAACTGGCATTGGTATTTGCCCTGATTATAACAATCATGAATTAAATTTCCAAAGAACTTCTCGTTATTTGCTGCTAACGATTATATCGGTAGCTATGGCTACAAATGGCACTGAATTAGCTCGTCACGCTAACTAATCCTTTGCAAATCTTTTCGAAACATAGTTGGATTGATGTAAAGCATTTTATGCGAAAAGGTCCTCAGCTTTTTTTGAAAAAAATGTAGGGTCGGTGAAAAGTACATGTCCTGTTTGAACGTTGCTAATTTTTTTTTTCAAAAAATCGAATTTTTATTTTTACACTTATGTCCACTTTTATTCATTT